CTATTTATTATGCGTGTAAGGAGAGCAGATCGAGGCAAAAAAACATTGACATCCGCGCGTTGCGAGTCATACAAAACACTGTAACATTTGTTTTCTACAGAATTAAGGTAGGATTTCTTTCCTTTTTCTATTCATTGAGGTTAGTTAGGGCTATTGTATATATACTTTTTATTTCAAATTTTTATATATATTTTAAATCTATAATTGTTTTGAATTCCTTTCAAATACCTGATTCATTTTCTTGGAAAAAAATACTTAATTTACATTCAATTGTACATTTTTGATTCATCAAACCTAGATCTTGAATGTTGTTAAATTGATAATATTTCTTGGCAATCTCTTGCATGTTTCTTATTGAAGTTTCCTCTATTTTAAGTATTGTGGAACGATCATTCGTGGTACACATGAATTTTATTAAAAAACATGATTTAACTCACTTGTATGAGTGGGTGTGATGAACTTTAATACACTTGAATTTATATCGCAGAATATTTAGATGAGTTTCTTACCTCGAGGAGTTTAAAGGTTCTTTCTCATTCGTAGTAAGTGTTGTTTTCTTGCAGGGTTTCAAACCACTATTTGTCATCAGAGATTGATATTGAGGGTTAGTCTACTATTCATGGGAAGATTTTGTTAAATATCAATGCGTCGGTATATGCACTTTCCAAAATGGTGTATCCCTACGAAGATTGATTGGAAGATTTTTGTGCATATGTGTGAGCCAGATAGATTCAGTGTGTGAATTCATTTTAATCAACTTTCGTACATGGGATATTCATGCGAAAAGGTATTGGTTTCTGAATAATTCTACTATGTTATGAATTTACTATTTATGTATTGTAAATTTGAGGTTGTTATCAATGTCACCTATTTTACTTCAAAAGATATATATTTATTTTGCAAATTGAGACCAACCAACTTTTATTTATTTTTAAACATTCATTATGTAAAGCCCCACACTTTTATTTTAATATATAGCAAGTAAATATATGAAATTTTTTTTGTAATCGAACTTGTAACAACTATGTTTGATGTCCAAATGTATGTTGTATAAGTTTGGGTTGATTTTAGAAGGGTTTGGAATGGATTAAAAATGAAAAACAAATGAAACAGACAAAACTGAACAGACCGTACCAGTACTGCGTACCGCTACTGTCCAGAGAGTTTACCGTACCGGTACTGCGTACCGATACGCTCTATAAGTTCCAGAAATTTTAAGTCATGATCTGAGGTCCATTTTTCACCCTATAAATACATAATGACGCCTCCATTAGCCCTATTTCAACATTTCTAACCCTAAGAAACCTTAAAGAGGAAGAAAGAGAGGGAAAAACATAAGATCAAAGGAGATTTGCACATTAGATTGGATCGAAGCCCTAGTTTTTTTTCAAGAACACCAAGGTAGAGGTTTTCTTCAATTCTTGTACATTGAGGCTAGGGCATTTATATGTATGTACGTTTTTACTCTCGATCCTAAGTATATGCTATGAAATCCCTATCTCTTGACGCTTTTGCACTTATTACCATGGTTTAAAGAAAGCTATGGTTATATTGCCATGAAATTTCTCCTCTTAACTTGAAAATCCTAGTTTTTGAGAAAAATAGATTTTTCTTCTTAATATTCCTTTGTTCTTGATTTTCAAACTCTAATGCTTTGTTTTGAACAACAAAATAGTATTTGTGATAATCTATTGCATATTTTCTTAAATTGTTCTATTGGAGAAGATACCCATGGAAATTTGGGATTTTTTGATGTACGTGTAATTTGCGAAAATAGTTATTTTTGCATCTCTTGTATGATTGTTGTGATGGACTTGAATTGCATTCGAGCATTGCCGTAGAGTGTTAGAGGCTAGTCTATCCCAGTGGAGGGTGAGATGGTTGCCTAACACTTGTAGAGGATTGTTGTTTGTGAGAGCAACCACTATTGTTAATGTAAATTTGAGGCTGAGGGATGGTATACCTTTCTAGATAAGGATTTGTCAATGCCGTATGTGACGGTATACACCTTTCCTAAAATGTTTGAGATTGTGTGATTGTGATGGATGAACGAGGTAAAAGTCGTTGTGTAGATTCATGGGAAGCAACCAACATACATGAGAATATGGGATGAGGCTATTGTATAATTTATTGTTTTTCTTTAATCCTGACATGTTTATTCTTTTCAATTAACTTATTGCCATTGCGTTAACTTGAGATCAAATAAACTGTCACTGTTTTACTTCAAGTTATATATGATATTTTAGAAAAAGAGACCGAACTGTATTATATGATTTCTAAACTTTGTTCAAGTTTGGGAGGATGTTGCTACAGAGTTTAGTGCTCACTCCCTACAACATCATATTTTTCAAATTTTGACTTAGATGAAGAACTTGAAAGGGAAGAACAGGTATAATGGGAAACTCCACTAGATGGGCACGTGGATCCCGAAGTGGATGTTTAGGGTTTTACTCCCCTATGTACTAGACTAGGGAATTCATTTTGAAACGATGTAGAGTCTAACCTTTTGTTATTCCGCTGCAAATTTAAATTTGATTCTTTTGGATGTAATTGCCTTAGTTAATCATATTCTTTTAGATATGATGGTCATGCTTTGACATATTCTTTTGGATTAGGTTGTAAATGTTATGAATGATGAATGAAATTTTCTTTACTTATGGATTATATTAGTTGCTCTCATGATGTGAATGATTTTTAGATAGTAATGTCGTCCAAGGTAGATTTTGGGGTGTTACACTTTAGACTTGAGAAAATTTCTCTATTGAACTAGTTGTGCTCGGTCCCTGTTTTTTTTAATTAATTTTTTTAGATTTTGGTGTTGAAGTCGATACTAATATAAATGAGCTTATGGATTGACATGTTGAAGCGGATTAGGAAGTGGATCCAAAAATTGAGGTCCAGCGTTGGAGGGCTTTTATTTATACTAGTTTTGTTTTGACGATTGGAGAAGAAATATTGATTATTTGCATTTATTTCGTTAGTTATGAGATTTTTTTTATTTGAAGTTTTGGAAGTAAACTTGAGATTTAGTTTTATGATTTGGGAATTTCTAGTTGGATGATGTTGGATATTTGTGGTTTTGATTTATTAGATGGTTTTTTAGTTATGCTCTTATGATCTCAAATGTAATTAGTTAGATCACATCTATATATGAATCTGGGGTGCGACACATTCAAAAAACAAAAAAAAACTATACCATGTAATGAATTAGAGAATAAGTGGACCATGTCATTTTCACAAATTAATTTTACGATGCCAAGTGAGAATTAATTTTTAAATTTTTTTGACTGATTTATGCAATTCATATTATATAAGAGTTGATTTTATAAGTTCTATGAAAATAAAAATTTGGCATTAAAGATAACTTTTTCAATAATCCTATAAAATAAAATTTTTAAATATGTGACTATTTTATCCGGACCCTTGTGATAAAATCCTGATTTTGATCCGGTCCAATCGATACAAGGATAAGTCTTACAACTAATAAGACTCTGCATTTCATCTTCAAGTTAGTAATGGTCTCTCATGTCTCACCTTTGCCACCTATTTTTTCATTATTCTAATTTTAATATTCCAATATAATCTGATTTTGTTTTGCGCACTTGATGAATGTTACTTCCGATCAAAGGCCCATAAATAACCGCGAATAGAGAATCGTATGGTGGCTACGAATGATTCACACCTGAGGCACAGCCCACACCCACAGATATCCATGAATTATCCAACCAAATGTCAAAAGAGAAAACAAAATGCTGCAAAATGGTTAATGAAAAATTGGGTTTCACTTTGACCAATGAAATATTCAGGAAATGAACACCATCATTGAGGCATTACAAGTGAACTTTCCCAAAGTTTGAAGGGTAATGTTATTGAAATTTAAAAATTTGATCTAATACGATGATTTAATGATATAATTTTATTGTAACCATCGAATTAACACAAAGTTTTAATATTTGATAGGGTGTCACTGTTAATTTATTAATTATAATAAATGAGATCAATAAATTAGGTGTAATAACATTGCTCAAGTTTGAAAGAAGATAATGGATGGTTCTATATTTCAACAAAAGTTGTCACCACCATCGTTTTCACGCCCTGTTTTCTTGTATTTAATCTGTTATAGTCAATCAATGGTATTGGATTTGGTGGTAGGCATATATTTTCGGAATCTTCGTTCCTACCCATGGCCTGCCGGAGTCATTAGAACAATTAATGGTTTTAGACCTCATTGATAAATAAGACATTATATTTAAGCCTCATGAAATCTAAGCCTCATGAAAATTGCCCTATAAAATTTAAGTCCAGACAAAAAATCAAAGCTGAGACCAAAAAGGTCAAGTTAATCACGTTTGATCTAAAAAAATGAATGGTGATCATTGTACCTTTTTTTTTTTTTTCAATAAATGTTTTTTGTTGTGCAAACCACAAATAACTAAGAAATATACTCTTTAATATCATTTTGAATAATGTTATTTAGATCTAAAAATTTGACTTAATTTGTTGATTTAATTATATAATTTCATTGTAACCTTTTGATTAATACAAAGTTTCAATGTTTGATATAGCATCTAGAGTGAATCCAAGGTTTATTGTGAATTGAATCAATAAATTAGGTCTCGATAACATTACAAAACGTAGTGAGAGACAAATAAAGTTGTTCCCAAGAATCTTCCCAAGCTGGCCACCCCAAATGAAATTTTTAGTAACACAATCTATTTTAAAATTTTATGGTCTTAATAAATGCTAAAAATTTCTCACCCTCTCTGGAATATTTTTACAATAAATCCATGGCCAACTCTCAAAACTCAGCAGGAATGAGAGAAACACAATGCATGAAACACAGTAACTTGAAACTCATCCATATTCACACCATTTAAACATGAATTCCCTGTAACAATTAAAGCCAACAAGCAAGAGACGTGAAAAACAAGATAGAGAATTACTACTACATACTACTAAGTGTCCCTTTACATAACCTTTTCTTTCAATTGCAACCCTTCTTATCTATGGCTGACTGGCTCCTCATCCACTGAAACAGAAGACCGCTTGATAAATTCCAAGCACTCCGAAATGGCTTCAGAGTAAAAAGATTTTGAACTCGCAAACGATCTAAACCTATATTCAGTGTAAAACATGCTTGGCACCTCCACCTCCTTCACTAAAAATTTCCTTCTGACACTGTTTTTATCATTTTTGCTACCACTTCTGGATATATTGCTCCTCAGTGTTTTTAAAGCATGCTCGTATGAGGATCGCCACTCATTAAATAGCCTGAACAATTGCAAAAACTTTCTTCGTAGGCGTTGGACTGAAAATTTTCTGGTGTACTTGAGCCGGAAACCTCTCATTCCGTGGCAGCTCCGACCAACCCTTTTATGGCAGATGTCACTCATTTTTGCTCAACCAGATGATAAGTTGTTGCAAACTCTTATGTAAGAGTGTAAAGAAGGTGAAGAAGGACTTTTTGAGAGGAAGGTACTGAATTTAAGTTGGTGTGGGAGGAAATACGTTCTACGATGAACTTGGAGACTTTGGATTGGTGTTCAGGACAGAAAAGACAATTAGGTGTACAAGACTTTCGCAACGAGGGGTCGGAAGAGAATTTGATTTGCCGCGAAGAGAGACTCCATAACGCCCAAATCACAATGTGAGCAACATATGTTTTAACTTCACATTAATCTTCTCCATGATATTTTAAGGCATAAAGTAGGTTAATTAGTACAGTCTGGGGGAACTAGAGAGAGAAAAAAAATGAAAAAGTGTCTCTTTCGAAATCAAATGACTAGAGTGGTTGAAAGATTAGATAGGCATAACCGGCAGTAATGGTATCATGCAATATATCAATAATACATAAGTGATATAATAAGTTAAGGAGCAAACATTGATAATCAACCTAACAAAATTTGACTTCTATTTCTATTAGGCATCAGTAGCTAATTAGATAGCTTTATGCCGTAGTGAATATCAGACATATAACAAGTGGAATATGGAAATTAATTACCTAACAAAGTTTGACTTCCTCAATATTGTCATTAATGCTATTAAGCATCAGTAGCAAACTGTATTGCTTTATGCAATAAAGGATATCTTTTATATGACAAGTTGCATATGGAAATTAATTATGCACATATGTTTTTCTGCGCAAAAGTTTGAGATAGTGGCACCAAGACCTCACGAATGTCCTACAATAACGAACGGGGTTAGAAGGGGAGCCGGAGACATATCTAACTTATTCCTTTCGAAGCCTAAGTCAGTACATGCTCAAAGGGATGATAAAGATTTTACTGTGCTAGAATGGTGTTGATTGCATACTTGAGACTCAATTCATTGAGCTATTGATACCTTCAAAGATGATAACATGATATTCTAGGGTCCTATCTAGTAGGCTGACAGTGCCCTATATGGGCAATCAATCAATAACTACTTCCCCTCAAGTCGTGCAATTACTAGACTTGGGGAAGGTTGGCAGCTCCTCAAGTCATGCAATGATTACATTGCTAGGAGACTGAACATTTAGTGCATGTCCCCTTAGCATTTAATGATTTTGTCAAGTATTCACTGTGCTACACTGAACATTCACTGAACTGGCACTGAGCATTAAACACCAACACCCCCAAGAAGTCTACGTTCACAAGGACCATGCGTTTATCTGGATTTTAGGATATTTAATGTGTGATTCGATGTGATTTTTTTGTGTAGGTAATCATTCTCTGTAGTATATCAAATCATAGGGGGCCCAAATACTTGCCTAGCATTGATTACTGGGCCCAGGATCACCTACTTCCCCAGGGCCCCAAGGGGTTTGTTCCCCCTAGGTCTTTTCCTTGGGACATCCTGATACAAGTATCGCTTCGTGTCTCGTCAACTTCCTCCTAGACTTCAGTTCCTCACATGTGGGGCATGTGGTGTGAAGGGATTGGAGGCTACTACTGCACGTCGCTTTGTGGGAGCCATTACATGCTTGTTTGTCGCCTATGTTTTTAAAAATTGCATTTAATGTGTCGTATCTCCCAATAAGCGATGCCTTAAAAGGAGGTATAAATAGGAGGGGGTTTCCCACTCTTAGGCCCCATTTGAATCCTTGAAGCTCAGAAGCACTTAGCAAGACCGAGCATTCCTCTCCTACAGAAGAAAACTCGAGCATCATTTTTAGTAAGTATGTTAAGTTCTTTGTCTTCTTCTTCCTTTTCCTTTTCCTTTTAGTCTCCCCTTTATCCCTTCAATGGAAAAGACCCTTAGATAAGATAGGCCAAGGACTGGTGATAGGCCTAGGATGTCAAAGGCTGAGCCTCCAAGTAGATAATGTACAATAGATTGCCAATTTTAGGTCCAAATACCGCATCTCGACTGATGTATAGTTAATAAAATTTGAGATTGACAAACATAATGTCACTCTAGATTCTCCCAACCTGATGCCCTTACACACCAAGCTGATAATGAAAGGTGGCGTTAGGTTTCCTCTTCCCCCCTCTTGCTTAGGTTCTTGATGCATTTTTGGCTTTTCCTCAGGTAGTGCTGTGTAAATTTATTTTGTATAATCATGGGAGTTTTTGCCTTGAATTCTCGGCTTGGCATCAACTAATCCTAGCAAGAAATACTACCTCAAAGCTCATGACCCCTCCATCTACCTTGTCACCCATATACCTAACTTTGATAGGGAATACACGCAAGACCTCATCATGGTGGGTAGTTGAAGGGAGAGAGATGAGGGACCCGAGTACCTTGGCCTGTAGTGTCCTGAGATCATGAGGGAGTCAGGTGCATGGGTCCCTTTGCATAGTGAGTTGTCTAGTGAGTCTTTTTCAGCGTCTAATGTTGTGCTAAATCTTGTTTGTTTTGTAGATGAGGGTATAAAGGAAAATGATGCTTAGTTGTTTGGTTCTTCGGTCCCCATCCAAGACTTAATCAAGGTCGGAATCCCTAGTACATTCTCCCAAGGTCACCTTCGCAGCTAGTGCGACTCTCCACTTTGATGCTAACATGTCCATTCACTAGGACCACTTTGATAATGGCCTGTTCTAGGAGCAATCTAGAATGTATTAGTGGGGAGGCCATTAGACTTTCTTTTCATTTTCATCTCTTTTGCTTCTCTTTAGGCTTCATTTTTGTTAGGTTTTCTTTCTGTAGGTTTCTCAACAGATGAGGATAATTGTGAACTAATTTTAGGGCTACTACTCAGCTAGTGAAAATACTCATACGAAGGCCAAAAGCTTGAAATAGACTGTGAAAAATCTTGAAAAGGTAATTGGAGATCAAGTGACTGAGATCTCCATTTTGATTGGGAAGGTGAATGACCTCTCAGCGGAGCTTGACAAGGCCAAGGCTGAAGCTAAGAAGAGGATGGTTTGATGTTAAAGTTTCTACCGCTGAGACAAAGCTAGCTGAGGACAAGACAAATTGCAGAGCTTTTGACAAATGTAGGGAGCAGGGAGGCCCAAATCCGTCAGGAAAAGTTACAAATGAACATGGTAAAGGTTTTCATCTACACAAAAGCCTAGTATTTAAAGAACAGATTGAATGTTGGGCTCAACATTGTCGAGATTGAATTTGATCTCGACCTTCAGTATTCCTTCATCCTATCAGCCATGATTGATGAGGAAGATGATGAGGCCAAAAGCAAGCTCAAGGCTTCACGAGAAGAGCCTCCTCCCCTTTATTATTCCCATAAGTGATGGGGATGATGAGAAACATGAGTATCACTCCCTTTTAAGGCTTCCCTCCCCTACACTTCAGGAGAACATTTGGGGACCCATTATGACTACTGATCTTCGAATCGAGGAGGTGGTAGAGTATGATGATCTATTTAGTGAATATGATGGTCATGGTGGTTTTGATTAAGGAGGTGAAAATCTGGAAGAGGCTAGCCAGAGAGGTGGTAATCGAGAGGGTGATGGACAAGACAGTGGTGGCCAAAATGAGTAACTTCTAGGTCCTATTGGGGATTCTTACTTTGGTATTCTTTTTATTAGGCCTCAGGCAGTTGGCCTTTCTCTTTTTCTTTCTTTTTATCCTGTATGCTGGAGGGCCGCTTCAATTTTTAATGGTACCTCTTTGTTTACCTTTTATTGACTTGATTGGGAAGCTGAATGTCCTCTCAACGGAGCTTGACAAGGCCAAGGCTGAAGACGAGAAGAGGATGGTTGATGTGATGCTTAGAGTTTATACCACCAAGACAAAGCTAGCTGAGGTCGAGAAAAATTGTGGAGTCTTTAGCAAATGTGGGGAGTAGGGAGACCCAAATCCGTCAAGAAACCTTCAACAAGTTGCAGATGAACATGGTAACGATTTTTGTCTAAAAAAAAAACTAGTATTTCAAGGATAGACTAGATATTGGGCTCAATGTTGTCAGGGTTGCCCTCGAATATGATCTCGTCCTTCAGGATTCCTTCATCTCGTAGGCCATAATTGATGAGGAAGATGATAGGGCCAAAAGCAAGCCTGAGGGAGATGCATGCCATAAGTGATTGGGATTACTCCCCTTTAAGGCTTCCCTCCCCTACGCTTTAGGGGAACATTTAGGAACCCATTATGATTGCTGATCTTCGGGGCTGAGCTAACATCAGGGATGTGGTAGAGGATGACAATCTGTTTAGCGAATATAATGGTTATGATAGTTTTGATCAAGGAGGTGCATGCCTTGAAGAGGCTGGCAAGGTAGGTGGTAGTCGAGAGGGTGATGGACAAGACGGTGGTGGCCAAAATGAGTAACTTCTAGGACCTCGTGGGGATTATTACTTTTCTATTCTTTTTATTAGATTTCAAGCCGCTTGTCTTTCTCATTTTCTTTCTTTTTATCTTGTATGTTGGAGGGAAGCATAGACTTCGATTTTTAATGATACCTTGTTGTTTCCTTCTTACTGACTTGCTTGTACATCACACTTAGTCGTCTTGGGGCTCCCTTCACTTAGAGCCATAGCCGAGTCCAAAACTCGTGTTAGATTGTTTGGGGATGTGTTCCCTCTCCTAGAAGACGTATCCCTTTGTTAATTTGGGCATAGTGCAGGCTTACATCGCCTAGTGCCATACCCCTAATGACTCAGTCAAAGACTCGTGTTAGCTTGATCGGTGATTTTTTCTTCCAGAGGGAGACGTATACCTTGGTGAATTTGGGCATAGTGCTATGCCTTTGTAGAGGCTTACCTCGCCCGAGGTCGTACTCTTAACGAATTAGTCCAAGACTTGTGTTAGAAAAGTACTTCTTGCGAATTGAGATGTTTATTTATTGAATGAAAAAACTTCCTCGTGTTTGATCCAACATGCCTCCCCCCCAAGTCATTTAGCATGTAGGATCTTGAGTCTCCCACTAAGACTACTTTGTATAGCCTTTCCCAGTTGGATTCAAGCTTTCCATCAGTTGGTTCCTGAGTGCCCCCCATAAATTTATGAAGCACTAGGTCTCCTACTTTGAACTCACGTGCTAATCTTCTTCTGGTGTTTTTTGAACAATTCCCCTTGGTGCTTGGCCAGCCAGATGGTAGTGAGGTCCCTTCTTTCCTCGGCAAGGTCTAGGTCCTTGACATCAATTGATCATTCATGCTGGTCTCAAATTCCTGAATCCATATAGTCAAGAGCTCGACTTCAAGGGGTATCGCTACTTCTATTCTGTAAGCTAAGGTGTATAGAGTTTTCCCTATTAAGGATTGGGAGGTCATTTTATTAATCCCAACGAGAATAGTCTTGTTGGAGACCTCAGCTTGTCTGTTGCACTTTGGATAGTTCTGGGTTGAATAGTAATTCTTGATGCCAAAGCCTTCACAAAACTATTTGAAAGGCCCATTATCGAATGGGTGTCATTGTCAAAAATGATAGCCCGAGGGATACCGAACATGGTAATGATATTCTTCTATACAAACTTCTTCGTCTCAACATCACATTTGAAGTTCAAGGTATTGTTTTCAGTCCATTTTATGAAATAATTAGTGGCCACCAGAAGGAATTTCTTATTTACATGGGCTTTTGGCAAGGGTCTGACTGCATCCATCCCCCATTGAGTAAAAGGCCATAGACTGGTGAGGGGATTGAGGTTCCCTACTGGTTACTGAATAATGGGTGCATATTCCTTGCACTAGGCACCTTTTTGTACATATTGTTTGGCATCCTTCTGCATATATGACCACCAATATCCTTGTGATATAACTTGATAAACTAGAGACTAACCACTGGTGTGGCTTCCATATATTCCTTCATGGAATTAGTACAATAATGGTTGAATTTTATCCTCGACGACACAGAGTAGATGTCCCTGAGATTGACCTTTGGTACAATTTTTGGTCTGATGACACCTAAAATCTTGGGGCTTTGATTCTAATCTTTCTAGCCTCCTCGCGGTATTCAGGAAGCTCCTTGCATCCAGATTCTTTATTATGGGGTCCATCCAACTCAGTTTCAGCTTCGTTTGGTGTGATTGGAAGCACGTCTTCTTTCAAAGGATCTTGAAGGCTAGATTAGGACAGGAACACCATAATTATCCTTTTGGGTGATCTTCAAATTGAGGGCCGAGGTCAGGCAAGCCAGGGCATCTGTATGACTATTGTCATCTTGGGAAATCTAGGATATCTAGATTTCTTCATACCCCTTTCTCAAGGCTTGCGCCTTCTAATGATAAGCCTTTATCCGGGGTCACGAGCCTCATACTACTTATTGACCTAGTTTGCCCCCAGCTACAAGTTGTAGAAGCCAAGCAGTTGGTCTGACCGCCTGGGCCATATTGAGTCCTAAAATGAGGGTTTCATACTCAACTTTGTTGTTTAAGGCTTCAAAGTCGAGATGGATCACGTGCTGATGAACCAATTTCTCCATAAACTTGAGTCCTTAGGGAAGCTCAACCCAGCTAATTATGCCTTCAGAGTATCAACAGGAATTTTTTTTGGGACTCATAAAAGAGTGATTGAAGCTAATCTTGAGAAAATGTGAGCATTCTTGGAGATGAAGTCAACAATCAACACAAAGGAAATATAGTGTCTTGTAGCCTTGAACGGGTTTGTTTCCCTAGCAAGTGACAAATGCCTTCCCTTCTTCAAGGTGCTAAAGAAACATTTTCAATTGAATGGCTAATGTGAAGAGGCCTTCCAATAATTGAAAATTTACATGAGTACTACACCAGTACTGGTCAACCCAAACTAGGAGAGGTTTTCACCCTATACCCAGCCTACAATTTTAGAATTTCCAATCAATGCCATTGTGGTCAGGGACGACGAAGGAGTCCAAAGGTTCTCTAGCAAAGCCTTAAGGGGGGCTGAGGAGAGATACCAAAGATGGAGAAACTAGTTTTAGAACTAGTCACTGTAGCTAGAAGACTCAGGCCTTACTTTAAAGACATTCCATTGAGGTGGCCTACAAACTAGTTGATGAACCAATTTCTTCATAAACTTGAGTCCTTAGGCAGACTGGTAAAATAGGTAAAAGAGTTGGGAGATTTCGACATGAAGTTCAAATCACGCATAACAATCAAGGTTTAGATCTTGAATGATTTAATATCAAAGTTCACCTCATCTTTGGAACAAATGTCTTCTTTCCACAAAGAACACTTTGTTCAAAACATACCAATTTGGGAATTGTATGTGGTTGGGGCTTCAAATGCACAAGGAATCGGAGAGGGGCTGATCCTAACCTCACCAGATTGATAGAGTTGGAATATGCATTGAAATTTGATTTTAAGGCCTCTAACAATGAGTTTGAGTATGAGACTCTTATCATTTGACTAAAGTTGGCCTTATCAATGGAAGCTCAGGAAATGGTGATCCACAGTGACTTCCAACTGGTGGTTAGGGAGGTCAGGGTAGAATATAACGTCCAAGAAGAAAGAATGGCGACATATCTTTAGGTTATGAATGAATTATTAAGTAGATTCCTCCACCTTGAAATCATACGAGTACCTAGGACCGAGAACTAACATGTTGTTTCATTAGAAAATTTGGCAATAGTGGTGCAAGGGAACTTGAGTAGGACGATTCCTATGGAACACCTGGATAAGCCAACTATCGATCAACACTCAATAGAGGAATTCATGCTAGTAGAAGAGGACTTGACTTGGATGAATCCCATATTCAATTACTTGCAAGATGAGGTCCTACCCATAGATAAAAAGCAAGTAGATAAATTTAGAAACAGGTCAGCTTGATAATTGATCATACATGGCAAATTATACAAAAGTGGGTACTCCTAGCCATTCTTCGATGCATTCCCCTACTAAAGACGACTACGTATTTAGAGAGATTCATAAAGGAATCTATGGAGACCACATTGGAGCTAGACCTTTAACTTGGAAGGCTTTAAGACAAGGTTACTATTGGCCTTTTATCATGAAGGATTTATCTGACCTAGTCAGCAAGTGTAAAACTTGTCAGTTCCGCTCCAATATACCCAGGTGCCCACCAAAATAACTCATCCCCATCCTTATTCCTTGTTGCTCTAACAAGGGGAACTGAAATTGGGGGATCCTTCTCTCTGGGAATGGGTCAATTTAAATTCACAGTAGTTACTATCAATTACTTCACTAATTGGGTAGAAGAAGAACCACTAGCAACAATCACTGAGCAGAAGATAAAGGCACTCAAGATAAGATTGGAAGTCTCAAAGAGTCAATGGGTAGATCACCTTCCTAGTGTTCTAGAGGTCTACAGAACAACAACTCAAATGGCCATGAATGAGACCGCCTTCAGACTATCTTTTGAAACAGAGGCAGTCGCTCCATTGGTAACTGGACTTTTGTCACTCAAAATTGAGCTGGTCTTACCAAAGCAGAATGGTAGGTTGCTACTTGTAAGATCCCGTATTATTTTTAAATATATATCCTATATTAATAATGTTCATAAAGTAATAAAAATGGTCTTTGAAACTTCGAAGCTTAATTTGTAGAATAATTGTGAGGTTTAAGTTTCACACATAATTACTTTCGGGTCAATTTAGAGTTGAAGGCATGTAAGCTTGAGAAGAGTAGTAATTAAATAATTATTTTAAATTTTTTTACATCAAAAGAACCTCTCTATTGAATTCGGAGCACCAAGAAATGTTGGGATAGACGTTTAGTTAGTATTGCAATTTGAAAGGGTGAAATAGTAAATTTAGTATTTTGGGTATAATTAGGAGTGAATTTTTAAAGAAATCATAAAATTAAAAACCGTAGGGATGGACCTTAGGTTTCAACTGGAGATGTTTAGGGGAAAAATAATAATTTTGGGCAAACATACATTTTTATGGACTTGTGAATGGTACCTCGATGTGAATTTATGCATTTATAAACTCACTGTCATCCCATTTTTCTCACACATCTCACCTAGTACTACTCCATACACCTTAGAACTAGAAGGAGAAATAGAGAGAAAGAGGGAGAAGAAGGTCATTAGAGCTTGGGCTTTTGCTTGGAAATCAAGGAACATTGCTTGGGATTCTTGGTTTAGCTTGGAGATTTGAAGGTGGAGCTTTGGTTCTTGAGTTTTGAGGTAGGGTTCTCCTTTCTTTGCACATGCATTGATATGTTTCATGCATGTTCTATATCTGCTTGTTTAATATGAGCTAAATACATGTTTTCATGCTATGGGTCCTAAATAAATGATGAGTATACCATGAATGTGTGAACCTACATGCATAAAATGAATTTGGGTATTGTGAGTTTGAAAACCTAGCTTGATTTTTGTTGTGGGTGTTTGATTGAACTTAAGATTTTGGGTTCTTTAGAGTATATGTTATCTTGTATATAATTTATTTGA